GAGCTGAATGAGCTCCTCACCCGACCATATGACGACATTATGATCGAGGAGTTTATCGAGCGGCTCCCATGTCCACAGATCGAAGAGATCGAGGAGCCTCCGGCGGCTACTCAGATGGACACCTCCGAGCCGTCGGCTGGATCCACAGACTTGCCACAGGGCAAGAAGGTTGATCCGGTCAAGGCCGAGCCGACCGATGTGCCAATGGAGACAGATGCTCCGGAATGCTCTCCACAGGGAGAGGAATCCGGGGTGGACGTCCAACCAGAAAAGACTGAAGCCACGGAAAGCTCTCCACAAGGAGAGGCATCCGAGGTGAAGGTCGAATCCGATGAGCACATGGGTCAAGAAGGAGGTAAGGTCGAGGACAGTGAGATGGCTGAGGAAAGCTCACCACAGGGTGAGGAATCCATGCCAGACATTTCTCCCGAAAAGGATGATGAAAGTGAACTTCACGATCAAGGCATCTGGGGGAAATGCAAGACTGTTCCGGACCCTGAGTACTACCAGGCCGCGAAGGATGCAGAGGACCAGAACGAGAACGCGTTCGAGGAGATGGGCAAGGCCAAGGAGAAGATTGAGCTCAAAGACACCGAAGAGTTCAAACGTTTCCTCTCGGAGCTCACTGAGATCGAACGACAAAGCCCTATGAGGCTGCTTACCAAGCAGCTAAATGGATACGGCTATTCAGGCTTGTATCATACAGGACTGCGTGATCCTGACTACGAGCCCGTTCTCGCTTTCAAGGTGCAGCATATGAGTTGGAGGGTAAATGTTCCGCCTCACAAGGGACAGAAATACACCCTCTCCATGGGGGACCTCTTCGATCAACTCAACAAGATGTCTCCCATCTATGAGCGCCGTCCCGAAAAGCAGAATGTGGTCTTTCGTTCTGGGGACGTCCGCAGCACCTTGGATGACAAGCTCATGGGTAAGGCCTCTGACATCCGAGAATCAGCTCTCGAGGTTATGGAAGCACTTCTGGATAAGCTGAAGTCCCTCGATGCAAGCGGCAGTCCGGCAACTCGAGAAGAGCTTCTGAACGCTATGCTTCATTACTTCTTGAGCGTCGGAGTTGATGAAGAGGAGATCGGAGACCTCTCTCTTGAGAAGACACCGAATCCTTATATTCATCGCTTTGGTCTGGCAGAGGACTCAAAGGTTCCCATTTTTACCAGCAAGACCAAGTACGCCGCGCTCATCGTCAATCTCGGCAACATGAGTAGGGGAAGGAAGCGTTCTGCTCCGACCTCCGTTGCTGATCACATTGACTGGGACGATGCTACACCGTCTCGTGGAGCCCTGATAAAATCAATTGCCCAGTCGAAGACGCATTTGTTCATGCTATGCGAAGCAGCTAAGATCGATGACTCCGAGGAGGCCTTCCTCACGTCGCGCGGTTGGCAGTTCTTGCGCAACGAGTCAAAAGATCTGATGGTGGGAAGTCGTACCAATGGTGTTGGATCTTCGCTCACCCGCCTGGCTGGCTCCACTCTCAGTGGATTCGCACACGAGTCTCTCCCTCTGACCTACATGACCTACATGGTCGTCGAGATCGTGTACGGCATGACAGTTCCGACTGGCATTCAGGGCAATCGAGATGATTTTCCAGAAGAGGCACTGACTAAGGTCCTGGAGCGCGCCGGCTCCGACCGCATCAGAGTCTGTGTCTTCCATCTCCGGAACGACGTGGCGGCAGACAAGGTGGCGTTGGCTCACGAGGTGTTGGGCAATATGTTCATCGACTGCTTGCACTACCAGGTCGACCTCATTGGAGGCGACGCCAACATGGCCCTGTACCGGGCCACTGGCAGGAAGCAGGAATCGATGGACATCCGCGGCGGGATGTACCAGAGTCTCATGGACTACTTCCTGGAGGCCTGGTCAGAAAGCCCGAAAAGCCTACACCTCTGCTCGCCCCGCGCGAGGCATGTGTCAGCAAACGCCATGTGGCTTCTGAAGCAGTATGAGGACACGCTGGGAATGCCATACAGGGAAGTTAAGCAACCAGACTGGAATACTTTTCCTGAGTTGGATCCTGTTATGGCTACAGTCATGGAATGGGGACACAGCATGTCGGACGATCAATGGGCAGAGTTCCCGTCTTCAAGGACCGAGTTCGACATCCATGTCTCCGAGTGGCTGTTGAATTCCACCAGCGCCGCGTACCTCCTCAACGATCGGGACTATGACGCTCACACTCCGCTCCTTATCGAGGTTCACGCGAACCAGTACACTGGAGGCAGGATGAGAGCGCTCAACCGCAATCCCGACACCATGAAGGAGGCCGCGAACAGAAGAAAAGAGAGGCAGAAGTTGAACAAGGCGCGTGGTTCTGGTTCTACTGGTCCTGCGTCCGCACCACACGGAACAAGCTCTTCTCAGGAAGAGGCAGCTCCGGGTGCTAAAGCTTCTCGTTCTCAACGTCCTCCAGAACCCGCACAACCTCCTGGTGGCAAAGAAGGCGGCAAAGGAGGCAAGTCCTCCAAAGGAAAAGGCAAGGACGCCGACAAGGGCAAGTCCAAAGGTAAGACCAAGGACAAGTCCAAAGGCAAAGCCAAGGGCAAAAACTGACTAGGTTCTGACGAGGGCGAGGACACAGACGTTGACGTTCCTGACGAAGACGTTGGTCCTGGCCCAGCATCCTTTGGTGGTAGACCGTGTCTTCCATTTCACTTCCAACTTCATTACTGGAGATTGGAGAGATGGTACTATCCACACTACCGGCTGCCTCATCCAGACGACAGTCCTCGGACTCGCCGCATCTATGAGCAGTAGCACCAGAGGATAATGACCCAAGGTCCGATGGAAGAAGTGGAATGAGTGTTTCACGGAATGCTTCTTTCAGAAGAAGGTATCCACTTGAGCATTCGTCATTTCATAGGAAGATGCTTTTCTCATGAAGAGGTACTTCCTTAGAGACCTTCTTCAAAAGAAGATACTTATCTCAGGATGAGATACTTCTAATGCCCTTATATGTTTGCCGTGTCGCAAGATGTCATGCTGGCATCAAGTAGAGCTAAGCTCTACAACCTTTTATGTTACAGTATGCTTTCCACCTGGAGAGGGAACTGAAACACAAGTGGGCAACTTTCAAGCACAAGTTTCCAGTTGAAGATCCGTTTGCGTTTTTGTGCGTGTTCTGCTCTTTTCAATGAAGCTGTCTTCAGGTGAGAGAATGTATATTTTCTCTTCAAGTCGCAGATGTAGCTCAATACTCCGCTAATTCGACCAAGAGCAATAACAGGCTAGTTGAATGCCGACTCCACGGCCATGCAGCTCTACGTGTTTTAAATTTGTGCCTGGTTGAAACACTGAATGTTACACATCCAGGTGCCTGTCTGTTTCACGTATCACTTGCATGTATCCATGCCTGTTGCTCAAGGTTCTAGTGCAGTGGACTACAGCTGTGCGCCTGTAGTAAAAGAGACACCTGAGTGCCTGTGTTCCTGTACGCCTAGCGAGGGGATACACGTCCAGGTTACATCTCAAGGGGGGGGAGGGGGAGTGGGGGGGGAGGGGGGGGGAGGGGGGAAGGGGAGGGACGGGCGGAAAACTGGGTGGGACTGCTACAGATTGCCAAAACCCGTTGGAGGGGGCGAGAATTCACCACCGGACCTTGGGGCTAGTCGACACGTTTCCATTTTAAAGGGGGGGGGGGTCTGCGGGCCCCGTTGGGGATTAAGAGGTGGGGAATAGGAGAATCCGAATAGGAACCTCTGACCGCTTCGGCCGGGGCCGAGGCGAATACATATATACATATCCTATACATATATTTTTACCTGACTATAGTCTACTCTAAAAAAAACCATCCGCAGGCTCAAACTCGGTGGTGGGGGAGCGCTCGGTGCCAGACCCAGTTGGCCTCTTTCCGGCGTGTCTCGTGCTTCGCGTTTCGGGTGTAGGGTTTAGGGTTTAGGTGTTGCGGTTTGGGGGGGTTGCCAGTGCTTCGCGTTTCGGATTTAAGGTTCAGGTTTAAGGGGTTTCCTGCTCAGGGTTCTGGGTTCGGGTTTGGTATATCTTCCTCACCGCCTCACCGTCGAGTCAGTTCCAGGAAGACTGTGGGGGTCCCGCTAGTGCTCCGGCTCCTGCACCAAGGAACTTTGCTGGGTTGCCAGTTAGTTCAAACCAGTGTCAGGAAGTAATTCAATTTGTGACTGTGCAAGTGCTGCACATGGCACAACTAGAAACAAGCCCCGAGCTGGTGTTCGATTTCCTTCCTCCGGTCTCCGATGCTGTCGAGTCAGTGTTCACTTAAAACTTGTTGGCTCGGATCTTTGCGATTGAGCTGCTAACTTTGAAGCTCTTGGCTTCTTGCCAGCTGACCTGATTTCGCATCAATAGACTCGTTCCTCAACATGAACTACCACAGAGCCCCTGGCGCAAGACACAGCTAAACGCATGTTCCTCTGAACTGGAACACTCTCCCTAAAACAAGCTCTTCTCTGAAATGGTTCTTTGCCGAAAGGAGTCCGACAAAGTGACTGGAAGCAGCGAATCGCACAAGATCCGGCAGAACCTGACAGATACAACATGCAGTGCTGCGCAATGCAGCGCAGCAACATAAATGTATCCAGGAGAGACCCCGATGACTGTGTGGCAGGCAGAAACTTCCCGCACCTAGTGATTACTGCAGGACGGCACGGTTCATACCATTTACGAACATTTACGAACCGCTCAGCCAGTTAGATCAGATTCAAATAAGGTTCAGCGTTTGACTTAATAGTTACACGCAAGCAGCAAGATTGGCGAAGTATTCCGGTACATCTATTCTGGCTACGTCGTCAGTAGCGTGTGCATGTAATGTAATCGCCGTGGCTTTTGAGCTCCATCCTACGAATGTAAAGCTTTCAGGTTCTGAGTTCGACTTCCGGAGACCCTGCACCTTGCGGCGCAACAGTCACGGCAGCCAGGATCTAAACTTCTATGGAACGTAAAAATCATCGGTGGCTTGCTGATAGCGCTAGACACTGGGCATTCTTCAGGCCAGCCCGATCGTGATGACCGCGTCTGCGACTCGTGCGCATCTTCAAGATCTCTTTTTCAAGGACTGCATGCAGTTCGTGAGACGAGCTTCATGAGAGGTGGGGGTTCCCTGTTTCCTTTCAGTGTTAGAGAGTTTGCAGAAGGAGGCTGTGCCCCTGCAGCCCCTTTGCCTCCGTACGGCTGTGCGAGCTTCAGTCCGATAGTATCGGATCGTACCATTACCATGCTTGCAAAGGTTGCCCGTTTTTGTCGCAGAGGTTTCACGTGACACCACGACCACCCTTTGCTTCCTTCACCCGGCAAGCAACTGTGTGGACACGGTGCCTACTTGATATCTAAATATCTCTAAGGACCTCAAAGCGTGCTCGTGTCTTGTGTGCAGCAAGCTGACGAGGAATTCCTCCATGCTATGCTGCGAAACGGGCCCCTAACCAAATCAAGTCGCACCTAAGAGCCTAGCCGTGCCTATGAAACAAATTCCCAGGCGCATCTAGGAAGGACACATCCGCCAAGTTTTGCAAGTCAAACAGTCATTCGTCCAGGTACCAAAGCCCTAAACCAAAAATTACTGAGACCTAAGCAGGATGCCGGGCTTCTGGAGCACTTCCAGTCGAGATTCGATGTCGAGCGCCATCGTCGGGGTGTGACCAGTTTTCGGAGACCCGGCTGCACCTACAAAAGCTCTCCGAAGATCGGCCCTATGATAGTAGGAAGAACCCTACTTTTTTTCATTCACCTCCCCCCCAAAAAAATGAGGTAGACGTGTAAAGATAGGCCCTACAACTGGCAGGATCTTTAGTCTTTCGAAGAGGGTGGCAACCGACACTCCGTCAGGAACGTGAAGCTTTTCCGCGAAGCAGACCCCGGCTTCACGCAGGCGACTTTTCGAGAACTATTATATTACAATATGTTGCATTATCCTATAGTATAACGATATATACCGGACAGGCATGGTTTACTAGGGTTTATGAGCAACAGCCATGGGCAAGGGGGGCTTTTGGCAATCTGATGGCTGTCGTGCCCCTGAACAGCCAATCCTTGCTGATTTGCACTGTGCCAGTTCTGAACTTGACCCCAGACAGCCACATGTTTCTGCGAAGAAATCTCCCGGAAAGCCTTCAGAGCGCAGCAGATCGAGCATCCCGGGAAGGCATTGGAAGTGGCAGTGAAGGAGCGTGTTTACAACGATGGCGAGTACATGGTGACCGAGGGAGTGGAGTGTCATGAGGTGCTCATCCACATGTCCTGTGGAGTTATGCTTCAGCTTAGTGCAAGTCTTTGGAGCACTCTGTGGGGGAAGGCGGTCATGCTTTGCCGTGGCACAGTGAACATCCTGAGTGACGACGTCGTTGTAGTCGCCTGGTTGCATCGAGTACGCACGCTCGCGCAGGATTCTGTCCGGCAACAGCAGACATCTAAACAAGGTCGGATTGAAACGAGTTAGATAGGGCATGAACGAGCTCGCAGCTCCGCACAAACAAGTGTAGGCATCATTCAGCAAAGTTCTTGTTCAAGCGGCTAGTAACAAGACAAGCAGCCAGTGGTGCAACCAGACGCCGTGCAGGAACTCCGAAAGTACCGATGCTGAATCGTAGGGTTGCGCGCAGGCGAGCAATCCCGAAGCCATAACCATTACCCACTCACCGGATCTGGCAGAAGCACGGATGCCTTTTGTGAGAGTTTGCCGTTTTGGGCTCGTGGTTGTTTCGTGGTCACGAGTGTTGTAGGGAAGGCCAGCTCCTCCAACCTCCGTACTGCGAGCCTGTAGCCCTTATAGATCCCTTTAAAGGAACACTTGTTGATCCCTTTTAAAGGAACCAGGCTTCTACCAAACAAGATGCATACAACTGACCATCAGCTGAGGCTTCGATTTCTGTTGAGTGGGCCTGCCTGTTTGCAGGAAGGCACAGCCGCATGCCAGAGAATCTTCAGATGTACGCGACAGGCAGATGGAGGACTCCATCATTTTTGGGGAGTTTACGCTGATGGGCATTTGGGATGCTCCCAGAGCTTCCATTGTGGCCGTGAATACATGCCTGGTGCAGGCCGATGCTTGCTCTTGGACCGTGGTGTTTGCTTCCTCTCACAACACATACCTATCTGAAACAGGTCTTTACAGAGGTAAGATCTTTCGGTTTAGGGTTTAGGGTCTCGGGTTTAGGGTTAAGGTCAACCCTAAGTCCCAGGGCAGCATGCGGAGGTGATCCACCAGGATGCTCTTCGGCAATGCCTTGACCTGTACCCAGGCGCCGACCCAAATTGATTTCCGATCTGTTTTGGAGACGGCTTACGGTCTATATAGGGTTTCGCATCGGGCTCGTCTTTTAGAGTTCCTGTCGTTGCGGATGGCAACCTGCTTTCGGGCCTCTAGGAAACTTAACTTCATCTGCGATAAGTCCTGATACTTACTCCAGATGTGCACAATGGAGAATGCAGCCGATTCTGTTTTGCGGAAGGGGGGGGTGCCAAGTCACGTTTAATTCCAAGCGAAAGGGCAACGGCCTCCTCTAGTTTCGATCCACCAAAAAAATCCCTTGCGATCCATGTTGCCTCGAGTTGTGATGAACGTGGGTACGTGAGATGTGGAGGAATGGAATTGCGTGCTCTTGCAGCGAACTAGTAGCTAGTAGCCTCAGCTCCGTCCACTCAAGGATTTCTGGAGCAAGTATGAAACGGTTCAGCATTTTCTTGGCTCCGGGGCCATCCGGGGCCCGCCACAAATGGGGCGGCAAACAGACAAGGGCAAAGCCGAACATGTTGCATCGAAGACAGGTGAGTTTCGCAATGTCGGAATCGTTGCACGAAGGAATTCGCGAATAGTTGTCCCGGCACGCGACCTCTTTCTGTCGACATGTCGATACATGTGGATTTTGAAACTCATGTATTGCCACTTGCCAGATGAGTCTTTCATTTTTCGCGAGCTCGTCGAAATCCGCCTGGATAAGATCTACCAGCAGGAGAGCCGAAGCTTGTCCGTGGCCATGTAAGACCGGAGGCTGAGCTGAGATTCTGACGCCCGTTGAGGAGGCAGAAGTCAAGCGGCAGAAGTCGCAAGCCAGTCTTGGAGGCGCTGTCTTTGCTCTTGGATGCCCTGCCCTGGGAAGATGCAGGTAACTCCAATCCAGAGCAGGACTGGCTGGGCAAAAGCAGCATTGCATCATGTTGCAGGCCGTCGAGCTAGGTCAGGATATCTGTAGGCCTGGTTGAGAAGTCACGCAATCGCTGTGTCGGAAAGGGATTCTTAAACTATGAGGTGCCCTTGCCGCAACTGGGTCTTGCAAGGATGCGGACGTGTCAAACAATGCAGAGGCTGGCCTCGGAGGACGTTCCGGGTCCATTGTCCATGTCGGCACATTCGCCGCACGCTCGTCGCGGAGAAGCATATCACCCTTTCAAGTCATTCTCAGAGCAGCAGAACCATTTAGTAACTTAAGTACTTGTGAGATCAAGAAAGCCTGTGTTTGGAAGCCAGAGCTCCAGAAACTGCTTGAACAAGCGGGATTCCTAGCAAAGTTAAACTCAAGCCATGCGAGGACGTTGTGCAACTCAGAGGCAGCAACGGAAATCTGGGCCCCTCTCACAGCCTTTCAGTGCAGGCCACGGGTTTCAAATCGAATCGCCGAAGTGCTTTCAGCAGAGCATGTATTGCTTCGATCGCCCAGGTGCAGGCATTGACCTAGTCTCCAAAACTTACAGCGGACCAGGCAAACAAGCACACAGACAAACATCAAAACACACGCTCTAGCAAACCATCTCTGTCTCTCTCTCTCTCTCTCTCTCTCTCTCTCTCTCTCTCTTACACTGCTCCCTCTGGCTTCCGAGCTCCAACTGCGCAGAGGTGACGACAAGCCACAACCCCAAAGACAGCAACACTTGGCATAAGGTTCTTGGATGTTTAGACAGGTAAAGCGAGAACTGAACGCATGCCTGATGGTTTGGCTATCTGGGAGGTTTTGCCAGAAGCCTTGACCCTCTCCCTTCGATGCATCACGGCATGCTCTGATACTGACACTGCAGTTTGAAGCCAAGAAAGCACTGTTGCTAGCTTGCTGAACTTCCATGTTGAAGGTGTCCAAGTTTCAACCAGACTTAGCGGATGTATGCTAGGAAGTTGGTCAGTTGTGACCTGGGCCGGCAGCTGGTTGTTGATCCCAGAACACGCACTGCAAGGGCGAGTCTTGAGCCGTACCTGATCCCTTTGCAGATCGTGGAAAGGAATCCGGAAACAGAAGCAGAAGAGCGGCTGAATAGAGTTGCGGTTGCAAGTTGCAAGTTGCTCGGAGACCGTTCGGAGACCTCCACATAACATGGAAGCATTTTTTGCATGGCTATGTCGAAGTCTGGGCTGCAGGAAACTCGCCTCAAGCCCGCCCGGCTGTGGGAAACTCACCTCAAGCCCGCTCGTCCAGCTCTCACTTTCGGGGTGTCGATGTAGGATGGTAATCTTGTGATATGTGCTTTCCGCACATTCCGGTCGGCTAGACGAAGGCTCGCCGTGAAACGCAAGACCCTTCCGCGAGGCATCCGTGAGGCAGATGGCTGTTTGCCCAAAGCAACACGAGCAGTCTCTCAAAAGTGGAATGCAGAGGTGAAGGATTTCAAGGTGCTATCCGCCCAGTGTATGCGGGAGCTCGAGTCGCCACCTCAAACTTTGCTATGGGCCCCTTCAGACAGAAAACAGTCTTGCCCAACTCCAAAACCATGCAAAACCCTAAGCCCAGGTTGTATCTTCACAAGAGACTCTTCATGAAGGATCAGGCGCTTAACGCAAGCCTGCTTAATGCATGTTTCATGCACATGAGAAAAGCGGCTGCGGCCAATCTTGGCTTGCTGTCAATGAATCTTCATCATCCTCTGAGACTGCATTCATATGCAAGGTGATTGTTCATCAAGGCACTGACCTGCAAGATGTGCATCCCGGTCACATATGGAGCCGTGTGCGATTCTCTCACGCTTAAAGGCTCATGGGACATAGTAAGTAAGGTTATAAGTAGGTTATAATTAGGCTAACCCCACTTAGCCCTACTTACTAAGTCCCATGATCCTTTGAGCGAGGCATGCATCCCCGAAGTCCAAGGTATGTTCTGCAGCAGGGTACTTGCGAGGCCAAGGTGTTTGGGGCCAGCTTCGAAATCATGAAAGGCCGGCAATTGCCTGTCCACTCTACTCTACAGCTCTGCTGCAGCTGTTTATTCTCAACTTCTGCTGAGCCCGGTGTTCAGGCCACTGCGTCATAGGCGGCCTACCATCGGTCCTCACAAAGAAAGTGTTTACGACTGTGGTCGCTACGGCCGCTTGTCAAGACCAAGAAGATGAAGGTTAGTGGGTCAGACTTTTGGCAGCCCAAAGACGAGCAGCTCGAAGTTGCATTCATGTTCGCTTGCTCGTCGTGCTGTGCTTTAGAATGTGGGTACTTCTCTATAGTAGGAACCTTGTTTTATTCCCAAACATAGTACGGCAGTCGCATAATGAAAGACCAAGGCAGGGAAAGTAATGAAACAAAGATGTAGCCTCTGCTGGCGCCAAGTGCACAGCTAGCCGGACAATGACCTTGCCAGGTAGCCCTAGGAGGACTTAAGATTAAAGGAGTATGGTATGGATAATGATCGAAAGTCTTTTGCATCTGCCAGAGCAAGTTTTTCTGAGACATCTTGTGCACCAAAAGCACCGGCAAACGGTCAAACGCAACTGTACCATCATGGAAGACGCCTTTAGGTCGCACTAATAAGAGTGTGCCAATGTTCGAGACGGAAACAGGCCTATCACAGAAGGTAGTCCAGCTGCACATCCGTGATTCGAAGGTGTTCTGTCTTCTCCAGTCTCGCAGAACGACATCTGAGGAACCATGTTTTGTGGTGAAGATCTCACAGAGACACTTCAACGCGATGTTGGACAAGCTCGAAGCCCAGTTGATGCCATGACTGGACAGGTGCTTCATGGAATGACGAAGTCGATGTGGGTGAGCACGTGAGCCTGTAGATTCATGCATGCATGCGTTCGTGTGGGTAGGGGGGTCGTTGAGGGTGGATGGGTTGGATCTTGTTGTCATGTGCTGTTGGAATGCGAAGTGGCATTATGGCAGGGGTCATCACTGGCTCTCACATGCCTTCCATACCCCCCCGGTTGCATGGTAGCAGGCCCGTCACCGCATCCACACAGCTTCGACGACCTTCGCCACGAACCATGATAGCGACTATCGAGCAGAGAGATTAGGGCTTAGGGGTTTAGGGTTTAGGGGTTTAGGGTTTAGGGTTTGCGCGACCTCCTCCACCCCAGCAGCCCCAGTTCTCGGAGCCAAGCTCGTGGTCAGTTGCGCCACAGGCATAGTAGGGCATAGGCGGCATAGGCAAAGCACACTAAACCAAGCAGGAAAGGAGCGGAGGTAAGGAAGGCTCCGCCTTTGAATCTCAGCCTGCTGAGCCGAGGTATCCGGACGATCGCAAGAAGCTTTTTGCTGCTGCAAATCGCGTAGAACTGACATGTTGTGATTGGCCGGCTGGTGTGTGAAATGTGCTTGTTTGACGACTAGTGAGAAATGGGAGTTTCCGAACATAGGGGATCCCAATATAGTACCCTAAATTACAGGATCCTTCTATAAGGATCCCAAAATCAGGTATCCGGCTAGCTGGATGACCAGACAGACAACAACCAGCCAGGCCTTCAGCACGATGTGCGATGACTTCCAACAAAATGTGTGGATCGCGCAGGCGCGTCTGAGATCGCGTGTGATAGAACAAAAGATTTCAGGGCCTATCGCCAAAGATGGCTGAATCTCTGCCTGAAGCAACAGCTTGGTGCAGCAGATGCATTCGATACATCTTGCATTGCAATAACTCGCTCCTCAATGAGGTAAAAAAGTACAGTAGACTGCAGGTCAAAAACCCGGAGAGGGGCTAACAGTGGTTTTCTTTTGTCGTCCGCTGTTGCAATGAGTTGTCTGCAGACTTATGCAGAGCAAGATTCATGACGCAGGACCCTCGCAAACCCACCCTCGGCATTATTCCAACGTGTGCAGAGCTTTACTGGATTGAACAGAGAGCTTGACAAGAACCATCAAAAGCCTGACTCTTTCTTTTCGACTGTCATGAAGCGGGTCTTAACACCGTTTGTGATGTGTTGACCCTAGCAGACTGGAACCACGCAGAATCTAGGGTGGAAAGGCTGGGTAGGGACGGTGCAGCCATGGATTCGGACAAGCGAGACAAATTCACATTGTGCTCGCAAAGTCGGTTCGCTAACTGCGCATCAGCCGGTCGGCCAATCAGCCGATCGTTTTTTCAGGGTTTAAGGTTTAGGATTAAGGGGCTAAGAGTGTGGTCGGCTGATCGGCATAGCGCTGTTTTGGGCCCTAAAGAGACGCACACTGCAAATTCATTGGTTTTCGTGTTAAGGGTGTTCCACCTTGAAGCCATGGTTTGCTTATTCTAGGGATGTTTAGTTCCGGAAAATGCACACATGGGCCTGTGTGTGTGGCGTAGTATGAGGTGTTGTTGAAAAGTGACGGGTTATAAGTACGAACTCAGAGCCGTGTTCGCAGGGGCAAGACTTTTCAGAACACACTGTGTCAACATGTTCAGAAAGATAACAGAGTTACAGATGTTCGGCTCTCCCCAGGATGTGCTTTGCCCTGCTCCGGAGGCTTTCCAGGAGCAACTCGGCGCAATGCCGTGTCTTGCAGGCGCCTGTGTGGAGTGCGGCTGGCATGTTTTCTGCTTAGTCCCTAGCAACTCAGTTGGCATCATCGATGTATCAGTGACAGTCTTTTCCATGTTTGTGCTGCTTGCCGATACGGTGCTACGCATTTTCCCGGCATTCTGATAGTCTGTATGCCACATTCAGCAGGACACTCGTGCTGACGTCATGTGCCCGTAACCTTGCAACTCAACACCTTGACGGAGCTTGCCAGGTTCCTGGCAGCTTTAGCTCATGTGCTGGAGCCGCGGCTTCTGCTTCCGGCGCAGGACTTGTCGCATGTTGCCTCCTTTCATTCATAAGACACCTGCGCTGTTCGAATTCACAGGAGATCTTCCTGGCCAGCGGCAAGGTGGGGCATGCATCTATAGGGGCCCTAATAATTGGATTAGGGTTTGGGGGCTTCTGACACTCTAATACTAATAAGGAACCAGCAAGTATAGTATAGGGTAATCATTAAAGCCCTACAGTATTCAGAAGGCAACATTGCTAATTCGATTAGGGAGCCCACTGCGGCATGGTATTCGGTGATGGCTACCACAAGTGATCTTACTCTGCGCAAGTTCAGAGAAGCTCAGACAGGTTGGGGAGTGATGTTCGTTCTCGATGAACCAAACAGTGTGGCATCAAAGTTCTTGCATCGCAAGGGGCAAGACAGTAAAGATAGTTTTGCTGCCAAGCCTGTGCGGGGAGTCTTGGAATGTCACCTGGGCTACTTGTACCTAGGTGGTCCTAGGTCTAAAATTAAATGGTCAGAATACGTCTTAAACCAACATTTTCTTGGCATTCCGCTCTCATCATGAAGACTGGCGAGTGAGATGACAGAGTTGGATGCTGCATACTCGAGTGTATTAACTTTGGAGACAGCGACCGTCATGTCAGCAAAATTCACCAAACTCGTGGTTGCCCAACCGCTTAGAATTCGTTCACTATTTTGAGACGGTGAAGGCTGGGATCAGACCTTTGGCGAGAGAAGACTCGAGATCTGTCAGGGAGGTTCTATTGATGTGCCTGTTGTGAGACCTGACAAGAGTGCCAAAAAAACTATAGTGCTTAGAGCAGCATGCCGGCAAGCAAGAGTTCCGTGATGAGATGACTCTACAGTAGAGCAGACAGCTAAAACGACACAATTACCTTGGCCGTGCCACCTGTGCGGTGCAGGAAGACTCTCCAGATCTTTACTTTGTGTTCGAAGGACCTTGTACTGCTTTGGCCACCTTTTCTTGCGACCTGCAGCGCAGGACATTTCCACTGCTTGCAGAAGGGAGTCTGCACCTCATGTTGGTGTCAGTCTCTTCCGACACACTGAGTCGTTTCTACATAGCTGGACAAGAGGCAGTGATGGGGACCATTTCGCCAAAGGCCACGGTGTAGTGGCATTCCGCCGTGCGGCAATTCGAGAATGTCGGGGAGTCGTGTTCAGATGGTGTTCGGCGTCTTGGAAGTCTTCGGAATCAACGACGTCTCCAGCGACATGAGGATTTATTCCGACGAGATTTGCAAGGCTTCGCTGTCGGAGCATCTTGTGGAAACGGAGTACTGTACAGCAGCTCTTTGCGGGTTGTGCAGAAAAGGTTGGGGTCCTGACACAAGCGCAGCTCTGCGACTTGCTGCACGAGTTCCCACAGGCAGGCTTCAGCTTCGACTGGATCAGTACCAAGATAAAGTCTGCTTCCGCAGGAAAGGGGCAAGTTCGAGAAACTTGTACACAGTCTCATGGAGGACAGTGTAAATCACCACCTCGCCCTCGCCTAAGCGATCCAGCACGAGGGGATACTTGCATGGCAACACTGGTTTTCTAGATGTTGTGCAATTTGCGCAGGTCATGTTACCATTCCTCTCCGGCCTGAACAACCAACAGATCCTGACAGTTGATATCTCGGCATCTTCATTCTGTATCCCGAGCAGAGAGTATTCCTGGATATGCCACCGTTGCTGCACGGAGGTTTGCCATTTATTGGATAGGAGGTTTCTGCTGCCGGACGCCGAGCACCCAGCACAGAGTACTCGCAAGTGCTGGCTCTGGGTAAACCCTGATTTTGAGAGATCATTGAATTGGCTTCGAGCTTAGAAAGCCTACTGTTGCTTTGAATGTCTCCTGAGGTCACGATAGTGAAAGAAGGATGCTGTAGCTGCGCCCGGCTTGCTCTGACAGAATGGAGCCATGCCAGAACCTGTTTGTCCAGGAGACGGTGGCGACTTCATGATGGTGCTGAACTGTGGAAAGGCAGGCCCTTGTTCCTGCCTCCGTGCAGTTTGCAGCTCACATCCCTCTCGAAGACTGCATAGAGTGTGGCCAAGCTTTGCTACAGCACGTTTCAAGCTTTGAGGTTGTCAGGTTCGGACTAAGATGATGTACACGCACAGCCGAAGAATCCTGTGTGCAGGTCGAGGTTCTGTACAAGGATGTGAGCATGGGTAAGCTTCTGGCGGGGAAGGCCTCGTTCTGTGCCTCCAGAAGATCTGGTAAGACGGAAATAACGCAAAATAGTAATATGAAAGCCTCCAGTTCACACGTTGCTCGGAGGCATTTGGCGTAAGCCAAATGATGGGGTTACATACTCGCTACCATGCCACCTTGAAGGCGAAGAGGCTCGAAGCCACGTTTAGCCTAATTTGTCTCGCACGACCCATGCAGCTGGGAACAGATTTTTCTGCAGCTTCCCTGCAGTACTTGCCACATTCTCTTGATCTTCTGGCACATGTTGAGCGGCCTGGCCTTCCACTGAGACTCGAGATTCCCTCATTTGGTGAGATGCTGCCTGACCGCCCCCGACGTGCCTAGATCAGCACGGCTGCGGACTTGACCTGGGTGCAAGCCATGAGGCGTCAGGCGCAGGCAGTCCGGGGGTCCGGCAAATAGCATGCGATGCAGCGGTTTTGAGCACGTACTTTGCCAGGAGATCTACGATGCGGAAAGCACAGGTTTCGCTCGCAAGCTACAGCAGAAGTCGAACATGGTGAGATCAAGGCTGGCATCTCTCGCCTCGCCTGCATGTTGTAATACATTATAGTGTTTTGTAACAGGATAGTGGTGTACTGTAACATGTCATAATCTAGTCCAACCCAGACTTCTTGTGACGGTCAAGGAAGTCAGACGTAACACTGCCTTCGGAGCAAACACCAAAAAAGTGCAACGTGCACTGAAACCTCCTGCACTATGATGTGAGCATATATGTGCCATTGCACTTTAAAGAAGCGGCAAACTCGTGTTCCCTACCGCCTATGCCCGGGCGAGAGGCACCTCCTGATGGACAACGTCAACATCGTCACGGGGTTGTGGAGCTTGCGTGAAATACTGCAGGAGTGGTACCAGGACCGCCATGCGAGCGCTTGCACAAGATGTGCTGTGTCTTGCCGTACTGCGCATCTCGAGCAGGTGGCCAGATCGGGGATCCTATCCGGACGGGATGACTCAATGACGCAGGCCGCAGTTCTCGGGGTACTGACGGAGCGTTGCACTGGGCGTCATACCCGCGGCGGCATCTCAACAACCCGCAGTTGCAGTCGGGTACATTAGTTGCGGGCTACGAAGACACAGAGAGTTGGATTAACAAGCAAGAAGTGCTCCTACTCTCAGCTCGCATTGCGACCAAGTGTGCTCGGAGGATTGTAATCTATGTGGTTGCAGTTGGTTCTGATCTCTATGATCGAACTGGTTGTCGCATCCTGGCGAGATCCAAAGAGTTTGAGAGTACCGGAAACTAGATCCAAAGCCTTGGCTTCTTTCCGGTCACAGCACCAGGCTTGGATAGCTAGGGTTTAGGGGTTTAGGGTTCAGGGCCTGAACCAGCAAACCAGTGGAAGTCAGCTCATGCGGCCTATCGCAAGGGCTGTTGTCAAGTGACTGCTTTTGAATGACCCGGAGCTTTCCGGGTCCTAGCTTTTCCTATCTTGTCCTGCTCGTACATACTTATATGATACATGATATATTGAGTAATCTACGATGTCTACTATGTATCGTGCAGTATCGGTTGTATCTTGATGTGTATGGGTTGACGAGCTTTGAGCAGCTGTGGCAGTCACGACGCCTTGCGCACTTGCCGGCAGGCTGCGCCCCCCATGCAGAGACAGATTACAGCGATGTCAACAGGGGGAGGCGAAGAATCCGTCTGATTCGGATATCCAGACGACTGCGAAGTTTGCAAGACCGCTCGAATCTTGCCTTGCCTAGGCGGAAGACTTCCTACGGTGCAAGACCAAGACCAGCATGAGCATGAGCTCCAATCCTTCCATGCCAGGCTGCCAGTGTGAACCCATCACAGCCTTTAGCTCTGCAGGTAGAGACCTCTGCCTTTCCCAACAAGCACCGCGGGATGGCGCAGACCCAAGATGGAACCGGAGCATGACACCTGCGACATGTGGGATCTGCAAAGGCTGCCCGACCTGTACGCTTCAACCAGAACCTGCGGTGGGCCGATCTGCCCCGGAGCAACTGCAAGAAGGACAGAACCAGCGATGAATTTGCGCAGCCTGTCCGTGATCATGGCAATTGGGTTTCGAGGAGTTTCTGAAGTGGGAGCTGCAGTCCGGACGCTTGGACATATGGAAGGCCGAAGGAACATGTCAACATGTTCGTCCAGCCCTTGTTTCTGCACAGAGATGGGCAGCTATCATGCTCGCAGGGCTTCACCGGATCTGCCTGGCTCCACACAGTGCGGGATGAAGTAGCTCAGGTGCAGCTATGTGCCATGTTGCCGTAACTTTTGTTGCATCTCCATGTGCGCATGAAAAAGCCGACATCGTCCCCAGCAACTGGCTAGTTGTGGTACGGCCAGGCTGATGCACAAGAAACTTAGGACATTGACTTTGGAACATCATTGTCTGAGTTGGACAGGTTCGACATGAGTAGCACTCGACATTCGTTCGGCAACAAGCATCTTCTAGCTTGATCTAGCATGTGAAGAACAGCGAGACAGCTTCGAACTCGGACAGGAAGGAGGACGACACAAGTGAGCGCAGACAAAGAGCTGCATGACTAGCTTGCATGCCGATTTTCTTTCCCACACAGGTGTGGGAAGGTTCCTGAACAGTTTGCAAAGCAAACTTCACATTTTCATATGTTGTGAAACAGTTGCGACCAGATCAGCGCTTCGGACATCCGTCATCGCCTGGTGCTGTGCCGAAAGCTCGCAGAGACAAAATTCGTCTGGCTCATATCATAAACGCCGTGCAAAATGGTGTAAATCTCTGTTCATCCCACAAGCCAGTTCACGGGACTGCACAGCCGTCGATTACAACTGGTCACATGAGGTGTAGCTAACTGGTGTAAGTAACCTTTGTGTGACTTTGGCTAGGCTAGCAGGAAAAGCACTGCATCCCCTGCTGCTGGCGTTTGGCGCGACTGACAGGGTTGTGCATAATCAGTAATCTGAAGCTTTTAAGTGGTTTACGAAGTTCCTTGTCCCTGCTTCATGGAGCTCGCCTACCTTGCAGCAGATACTAGGCCAAACTCTAACAAGAGATAGTGGCCAGTAAATCAAGCCCCTGACGTGAGTGGGTAGTCTCGAGACCCGATGAGAATGCTGGCTTTCCAGATGTTCAGAACGGATATTGGACCCAGATCTGGCAGGTAGAATAACAAGACGTTACCAGTAATTAGAACGAGGACAAAACACATCCCCACACACCCACACTCGCGGAGCATCCACGAGATGATGGAGCACCGGATTGTGTGTCTGCGTCGACTGCTCGCAGCCTCTTCGGATCGAGTTTCACTATACCCTGAAGCTTGCTGTGCGTGGTGGCATACCGCTGCCAACGGCTTCGCCGCCACTATTGGCGACTCGGACCGGGATTTTTTAACGCCCATCATTGACGACAATGCTGGCTTAAGAAAGCGGAGCTGGGCCTCGCATTCGACTTTTCCGCATTCCGTCCTGTAAGCTTAGTTTCAATTCCTGTTCACACACAGCCCTGGGCCCAGGTCTCACGAATGGGTTGGAACCCTGGCACCCGACTCCCAACTGAGCTCTCCACCTTTTGCGTCGCCGCGTTGTTCGAGGCGATACCTGTCGCCTGTTTGGCCCTTAGGAGAAGCGTCATTGCATGATGAGGCCAACAATCCATTTGCGAACAAGCACACCTCTGCGGTGCCGCGGCGCCGCCCCTATGCAAACGAGATGCCATGGGATCAATGACACTGTTCGGGTACCACTGGTCGAAAGTATAGGACACTTGTGTACCTTGCATAGTGTTGCATGGCTTGTAGCCACGGTCGAAAGAGCTGTTAAAGAGACCGGTTGATTGTAGGGCAGTTGTACTGGCCGTTTGTGCGTAGAGTTTGCGTGCTTGGGCTTGGTGTGCCATTTATTGGCCTTTTTTGTTTTGCCTGGCCTTAGCTGTACTGGCTTTGGGGTTCTTTGGGCGCAGGGCTGTAGTTGCGGCTACCAACTGGACGGCAACAAGAGAGCAAAGTAGACTGCAGCTGTCATTGACGCGTAGTCCCAACTCGTCGGCCTTCAAACCTGACCTTACGCCTGGAACGGATACATGGATTTGCGGGAACAGATATCTTGCCCGGACAGCAACTTGCGGCCAGTAGCACTGCGTAGCCCTTGAACCAGCAAAGCACGAAGCTGTTTTTCATCAGCCCGAGGTGATGCGTACGTGGCTGCCTTGCTTCGTTCGAATGGGGTGTTCGATGGAGCTCGCACGGAGCTCAGCTTTCAGCTTGCGGTCACTTGGGCTTCGTTGTACTCTCCGCATAAGTCCTGTATTTCTGCTACAGTTCAATTGAGTAGATGGCATGGCATTTGCTGCATAGACCATTCTGGATGAATCCATTGCTGGATGATCTGGATGCGTGACTTGCCATCGGAGGGTTGTTGGCGTTCTTGGTTCAAGGTTATTGGTTGCTTCATTGCATTGCAGCTGGAATCTCTACCCCTAGGCCCTAGATCCTAAGACCGTCCCGTAACCCTAATGTTTAAGGGGTCTAATAGCATATTTCCTCGAGCCGAAGCTCCAAAACCCAACCCTCAGTCCACAGCCCTCCACTAGATAATCCCGGGCCTGGCACTGCTCCCGCATTGTTTCAAGCCTTCTTCACTAAGCTGCTGGACTAAGTCTTCCTCAACAGTGGCAGCAGCAATGTCAAATCATTACCAGACTCTGGGCGTTTCCAGAGATGCCAGCCGACGCGACGTTATAAGAGCATATACCACTGGCGCTCCAGCACCATCCTGACAGACCGTCAGGCTCCACACAGGCCTTCCAGCATCTCTCCAGTGCTTTTGAGGTGATTGGTGACGAGGCGAAGAGGCAGGCATACAACTTCGCTCTTGTTGAGCGGGCGAACCCCGATGGGATGTCGTTTGACTCCATGGGCTTGAGGCCGACTGTCACTGGTGAGGAGGCCCATGTTCTCGCGGATTATCCGGTGACGTTTGCCAAACTCCTTCTTTGTGCAAAGCCCGCGCTTTGGGGTCGTCTGCTGAGGGGGTTGAGCAGGAAACAGCTGGATGAGTTAAAAGCTTGCCTCCATGCCGCTGAATCAGGCAAGCGAAAGCTCGAGAAACCCGAGAGCCTTAAACAGCTCCGAGGTTTGGACAACTTATACCAGCAAAAAAAAGCCGTGTGGGTTCAGGCACTGCGCAGGTGAAACAGGATAGATCCCTAACGCGTGCAATGGAAACGAACGGACCCCGGCAACATGGGCCGGGGGGGAAAAGAAGCACGGAAAATCGCTCTCAAGGCTCAACTCCAGTGCACCCCAAGAAAGGAAGAAGTCAAGAAAAGCAAACAGAGCCGAAAGAAGAAGATGCCAAAGATCTACGTGCAGAGATGGAAGATGTAGCCAGCCATGACAACCAGATCCACGACATCCTTGACGACATTAGAGACCTTAAAGATCAGATGAAGTCATCCCAATCCCAACTGGCTTTCCTCCTCTACAATGAAGCAGATCGACAGCGAACAGCAGTTGCAGGCAAAGTGATGGTGAAGAACTGGTGGCAATACAGTGACCCAAACGAACAAGGAAAACTCTTGCTGATGGAACACCGCGAAACCATGATCAACTCCATTGCGGCGGAAGCAGGCATCAGCGACAAAGAAATCACAAGGTTCAAATTCGAACATCGTCGGGGTAAGCAGCTGTCACCATTTACGATGGTAGACTTGGGAGACTATGCCTTGAAGCAGCAACTACTGGAGTCAGTCAGCCAGAAATACGACAAAAAGGGCATCAAGGAGTGGTCCAACGAGAAGTTAAGCCAACTCCAAGGCGGCAACAACAAGGACTCGGTCAACGGCACGATCAAAATAGAGCCATGTATATCGGCCTTTGATCGTATGCAAACAGAGCCTCTCAAGGCCATCATGGCGGTGATCACGAAGATGACCCCAACCTTGCAATGGAAACATTCCTGGAAGCACCTCACAATCCAGAACACGGAGACAGGAGAATACATTGCTTGGTTAGCATACGATCATCTGGAAGGTATGGCGAAAATCTACGTCAACAACACCCTCTACTCAGCGCGAGCCTTCGAAGACGAGTTCATCACCGCTTACGGGAATATCATGTCACGCAAGGTCATCGGCAACAAAGGCAAAGGTAAAGGCAACCCAGCAGCAGAAGGAGTACTGACTACGGGCGATTTCTTGAAGGCGGTAGGTCTCACACCAGAGGGCAAGGGATCCTATGTGAAGGTTTCAACGTTGACACTCAAAACCAAAGTCCCATTTATCTTCGATGTGAGGGCCATCACAAATGACGAGTTCGGAAAGAAATACGACGAGCACCTCGAGAGGATTGCAAGACGCATCCTGAAACCTGACTTTGTCTTGTAGGGACACTGCCTTCCAGCACGAGCGGGGAAAAACATTGACACTGTTACGAGCGTACCTTCAACAATCGAGCAGCAAAAAGATCTTAACACTGCGATTCCAAAATCACATCTTCACCGAAAGCTTCGTCACCGAATGTCTCGTCACCGAATGAGTGCAGGTGCAGGCTCTCAGCGGCCGGCATTTGCACACCACAACATACATAGGGATGATATGTATAGAATAAACCCTCCATTCAGCCTTTGCCTTACTCTACCCCCAACCGACTGGTACGGCGGGAGACGCGCCCACTTTCCAAAGGACGGTGCGCGAACGAAACGAGTGAACCCAAGTCTCACCCAAAACGCATACACAGAAGAGGTAAAAGGTCCATAACGCAGCAGTATATCCATAAATCTAATAGACGACAGGCCCGAACCTTTCATAGAAGAGAATACAGAAGAGTGAGACAGTGCTGGAAGGCTTTGGCCAAGCATCCAGCTACCCTCACCTTGGCTCAAGAAAGAATCCTAGCAACTATCAATAATTCTAAGAACCTGACTTCCAAAACAGAGGCGGGAGACACGCACCAAATGCATGAGAATGAATGCAATATTCACGTGTCGCCGAAACATCAACTTAGCACACACAATCAAAATTTGAGAATCGCAACTTTAAACATACGAGGAATGAACTACATTACAGCAAGGCAACAAATTATCTATGTTATGAAAAAACATCATATCGATGTTCTTGCCCTGCTGGAAACCCACGTAAACTACACAGGAAAAGAAATACACGACAACTATATCTTTTACTTCTCAAGCATCGTAGACGACGACATACGAAAACGTACCGATAAAGAGCTGGAAATATATTATGATAAGTGCAAAAAAGAAAAGATACCACAGGACGAAGCAAAGCGAGAACGTATGAGAATCAAACAACGGGCGGCAGAGAAGCTTGGATGTGCATTTGTGTACAAAGCGAAGCTAAACCTTGAAATCAACGTTCAAGCGATTGACAACAAAAATATTTCAATGACGATCGATACGAAACCTATCCCAATAAATATTGCTGCAACCCACGCCCCCCATGCCAATCACACGATAAGGATAAAAAACAGCCATTATGCGGGCTTAGAACAGCAGATAGACAAATGGAAACCACATGAGGTGAATTTCCTTCTCGGAGATTTCAATGCCAGGTTACTCGAACAACTTCCACAGGAATGTACAATCATTGGTAAACACATTTATCGTACCCCCACTTCTACCATACAGGACCTAAGCGAACAGCAACGACAAAATAGACAACTGTTCACGGAGTTTTGTTTATCGCGTAAAATGATTCCTATGAATACTTGGTTTGACAAGCCCTCTCCGTTCCTTGCTACATATAGGAATTTGAGTACAACACAGTTTAACCGAACGGAGATTGATATGAACACGCATGCCCAAATGGATTACATACTTATCAACGACAGATGGAAAAATGCGATTTCCAATATCACAACCATTCAAGAAACGATCTTGGATGCGGATCATGCCCTTCTGATTGCCGATGTGCACTTGAAATTGGCCCAGAAAAAGAGCGACAAACGACAACCTTTCCCGAAAAGCTACAGGACTCCTACCCAAACCCAAAAACAGGCTTACAATCTTTTCGTCGAGCAGAAAATAGAAGAACAACGGCAGCTGGACAATTGGAATTGCAAAAAAGCTTTTGACACTCTTGCTGATATACTCATCGAATCGGCGGATAAATACTTCACACGTATACCTGCTGAACAGAAAAACCCTATCTTTCTGAAACAACCTGGAATTTAATCGAGGCCAAACAGAAAGCGATCGAAGAAAATGATCTCATAAAGGCCCGAGACTTAACCAGGAACATTCGCTTGCAAGGGAAAAAGGACAAAGAACGGATGCTACTACAGGAACTTGAAGAAATGACAAAGGAAGGATACAAATGGGATGGCCTAAAGAAAGCAAGAAAGACCTTCCAACCCAAACGATACAAATTCAAAAACAAGCATGGTGAGTTCATCAAAGAAAAGGATTTTCCATCAACGGCAGCGGAATATTTTGCCGAGGTACAGTGGGCCCAACCGGAAGAGAATGATCTAGATCCAGGGAAAGAGGCAACTCCACTTATAGAAGGTACAAGCAATATGAATGACGAGCTGTTTACTCTACCGGAACTTGACAAGACAATCGATGCGCAAAAAAACAACAAAACTCCAGGACCAGATGGATGCCGAGCAGAGCTAGTGAAATGGCTTTCCGTTACAAATCGAAATTCTTTGCTATCGCTGTACAACGACATGATTCAAAGCCACGAGTTCCCGGAGTCTTTTAAAAAGGCCAATTTAGTAGCTATCTACAAGAAAGGAGATGCCACGCAAATGCAAAACTACAGACCAATTGCATTATTGCAAGTGTTCTATAAAATACTAGCAGGTATGATAAGAACGCGATTACTACATGCATACGACCCATGGGTTCAAAAAACACAGTACGGTTTTCGCCCCAAGAAGTCAACGACACAAGCTATTTTCATAGCAAGAAGATTATTGGACCTAGCCGAAAGACAACATTCAAACCTGTCACTTATTCTATTAGATTGGGAGAAAGCTTTCGACAAAGTGAACCAAACAAAGCTTTTACAGGTTCTACGCAGATTAAAAGTACCCCCTAATATGTTTCAGCTGATTGCTGACATGTACCAAGATCCACAGTTCAGGATAAAAATGGACAGCCAATGTTCAGAATACAAATCGCAGGAATCTGGAATTCGTCAAGGGTGCCCCCTCTCACCATTTCTATTTACGTTACTAATGTCTGCAATGTTCAAGGATATTAAAGCCAAGCTAAACACTCCAAAGCAGAGAGAGCCCTTACCTGGAATAGAATTCGCAGAAATTTTATACGCAGACGACACGCTACTTTTTGGAACCCATACCCATACAATAAACAAGCTGCTACACGCAATTCAAGTTGAATCCAGGTACTATAACATGAGCTTGAATTACGACAAATGCATTAACCTTACCCTGAATCAAGGAACATCCAGTGTTAAATATATGAATGGGTCACTTGTTCCGCGCAAACATGAAGCCACATACTTAGGCTCAATACTGACAGACACGGTGGATAATCACCGAGAGGTTTGTAATCGCATTGCAGATGCCACTGTCACATGCAATAGACTAAAACTTTTTTGGAACAAGGCTCAAAACACAGTGAAATGGAAGCTAAGGGTGTTCGATTCAATTTTGAAAAGCAAGGTACTTTATGGGCTTGAATGCATACAGCTGACACAACCTGACTTAAACAAATTGAATGCTTTTCAGATGAAAGGACTTCGCCGAATCCTAAAGATCCCTCCCACTTTTATTGACCGTACTTTCACGAATCAGAAAGTTTTAGATATCCTGCGAACTGAACACCGCCATCCGACTGAAAAGTTTTCCCTAACATGGATGACAAGAAAGGTAAGACTACTGGGACACATATTGAGGACTGATTCGAAAGACCCTATGAAACAAGTCATGTTAGATCCATATACAAACAGGCCTAGACTTGAATATAGACGTCCTGGTAAACCAAGAGCATCATGGCTACTGGAGACATTTAAAGATGCATTTGCTTTGCTAGAAAGATCCGAAAGCTATGATGATGCGAACAATGAGCATCGGCAATACGTAATACAGCAAGCACAGACAAGACAGGGAATATTTGCTACAAAGCCACAACATAATTAAGTTAAAGCCGTTAGCAACATACCAACACCGGAAAACTTTGTCACCATACATCACCGAATTTTCTTCACCGAATGCGCGGAGCAGCACCGCGACCTTCAGGCAAGCTGCCCAGCTGCACTTATCAGTTTCTCGGAAATATATAAGACTTCCTACAGGCACACAATACAAGCTTCATGATATTCCCCTCATACGTCTCTTTATGTCACAGGCAGATTAATTGTTTAAAGTGTAGACTGTACTCTGTATGTTTCACTTTTTCGATGCTAAGATACATGATTCTATGTTTTGTTCCCACTTCATTGGCTAGGCTTCTGTGCTCAGACTTTCTTGTCTGCACGTAGGAAAAAAATACCAGCAAAAAGGAAAAGCGGGCTATGTGGCCAAAGTAGGTCTTGACCACCTTGAGGTCTTGTCTCCCTATGCAACGTCGGTCGCAGTCGCTGCATATTACCATTCCGCAGTGCTGGAGCTGAGAAACTTGGTGAAGGGCCACACGGTAGCTTCGCCTCGTGCCACTTTTGAAGAGGGAGTGGGAGAAGGTCGTCAAAGACCGAAGGCGAGTGGCGGCAGATTCGTTGCCAAAGACAGCATCACGGCTCTTGGGCTTCATCATGGCACAAGAAGACTCCTTGCGAGACATGCCAATTCTCAAGCTTCGCAGAAGGTGTAAGCAACCAGCCGCCGTCGTGCTCCAGGTGCGATTTGGGGTTTGATGCAACCTTAGCTCAACGCTGATTCTTTCAAAACGAAACGTCCAACTTCTCAGCCCGATTGCTAGAACCCCCAAGCCGACAGCGAAAACCACCATACAGTAGGCACACAGCAGCTCATGCTGCAGGAGCTCAGGTAGCGAGACTTGTGAGGGTCAGCGGCAATATGTGTTGTGTCTGAGGGGTTAAAAAGCTGTTGCGCCTTGCCAGGTGCCCCTGTTGCCGCAGACCGCTGCAAGACAAGGGCTGCCTGTCCAGGAGATGCAGAAAAGGTTGGCTTCCGGCGAAGGGCAGAAAGCTCTGCAACAGTTCTTCATGTTCTTGCAGCAGAAGCAACCCGCGATCGCGGAAGGTCCTAAAATCAAGGCAGAGGTGCTGAAGGTTGCGTTGGGGCGCATGGTGAGTGGCGACTTCGCCGATGTGGTGGAAATTTGCACGTGCAGAACAGTGGACAAGCAAATGGATGAAATCCTTACTCAGGCAATGTCTTGCAGAGGGACCCTCACACTTTACCCCGGCAGCTTCCGCAGCTCTATGAAACTCATCCTCGGCTTCCTTGGAACAAGGTTCGCACACGACACAAAGATTGTCGATCTGCGATTTCTTCCGAATGAGATGCTTGACAGTACGCTATGTGGGGTCTTATACAGCTTGCCAGCTTTGCAACGGGTGCATGTGCGGCACGACACGCCGAGTGCACCTCGCAACCCGGCAGTAATGCTTCAAGTAGATCTGCGTGCTGGAACAATGTCGTCCTCATACATGGGCTGACTTGCGAATGTTTAATTTGACACCCTGAAAATGAGGTTGATTGGTCAATGTCATTGCCCGTGCATTGCAGGGAGCATGCGAATAAAGCACGCCGGCAGCGCATGGAACTGAAGATGGGCCTCGTCGAAATGATGTCTGCACATGTGTCGCTGAGCTATCCAGTCCATCTGCAACCATCCCAGATTGCGTAGTTAAGCACTTTGAGGGCTTGAGTCGGGGATAACGAAGCAACAAGACCAGTCGGACAAGATCATGTGGAACCGTTTGCCACACAAACGCTGAGAAATGAAACAGGACACTCTGAAATGTAGGCTAAGTGCCTTGCCTACTGCCTCATGCGCCACTGCTCGTTGCCCGGTCCACTTAAATTAGACAGTGCAGGGACTATAAAGGACGGCTATTACTTATTCCTGATCAAAAGCCTTCAGGCCGCTCCATGGCAAGGGGATGTTGCTTTGTTTAGCACGAGAAATTTAGAAGTGGCCTTCTTACCCAGCTACTAGTAGGGCATGTCGTCATGGTTTTTGTTTGCTTTCGTAAGCAATTGACTCTTTACCCAGACAATCCCAGACACCTGCCCGGATTAGCAGAATAAAATCCCAAAGCAGGACTGGGTTCCGGAGTGCTGTGCCATACTTTAATGCTTTCTGGACCTGTTCCTTAACAGAGCCATTATGAAATACAGATTTACCTTGTCTCCCTTCTTACTTCAAAACCCAGAAGACCTTATCTATTGCAGACAACGCTGGAAAGCCTTTCGGGGGGGCCTCGATGTTTAAAGCCTCCTTTAAGGGGTCTGTTTGCAGATTCAATTCCCGCTTGGCAACGGGTCCGGTTCGGTTCGGGTCACGTTCAGTTCAGTGTTTTTTCTCGGGGTGCACACGCACAGGGCAGATTTTTCACATTGAGGGCGCTTCTTTCAAATTGCAGCATCCATGCTGTCAAACCGTGGCTTTGCATAATCAACTATCAACTTTCGTCCTGGCCGCATATTAGTATGCTTTTCACACGGCCCATACGTGTATTCAACACCGAACTCCACAAACCTGCAGCAAGACAACACGACTTCAGCGAAATTGGCGGGGTCCAGTAATTTAGTTTCCCGATGATGGGCATAGTGTTCGGGGCTGCTTGTGCAACGTCAGGCGCTTGGGATTCATGCTATATGAGGGCTTACCGGCATCTCGTTCCAGGCATTTAAGCACACCATGCGTTGTGCACGCGCACGGAGGACCTACAAGAAACACTAAGAGCAGCAACCACTAACATGTTCCGTTGCGTTCTTGACTCAGTTATTGCCTGGTACAGGAGGCTCATTGTGATCATACTAGTACTATACTCTGGTCGAATGCACGTATGGTTATACCTACGGCTGTGGTCTTGTTCAATCCTTCGGACCTTATCGCAGAGAGATTGCATGGAGTCGTGCTTGATTGAGAATGCAGGGCCCGAGAGAAGTGCACTACAATCCAGACGGCGAGTTCCCGCTTCAACAACCTTGGCAGGTCAGGGAGCGTCCGGCTGAAAGACATTGCTTTTCGCAGCTTCGGTGGCTGTGGCGATGTCCCTGAGAGGTCCCTTGTAGCTCATCGGATTTAGCCGAGCTTCCGCATTGTGAAGCTGAGTAAAGGTTCAGGTTGGGTCTAAGGGTCAAAAGGTAACTCTTTATCGGGTTTTGGATTTGGATCCAGCCATGCTTCTATAAATTTCGTATCCCAGCCTTGGAGTCTAGGATGCATGCGGATCAATTTTGCAGTTCTGTTTCTAGTGGTTTTGGGCTCAGAGCTCGGACCTGGGTTGCACGAGTCTGGTGTGGAATGAAGAGCGCTTCGGCTTTCGTGTTGGTTCGTTCTCAACAACCCCGACTTGGACACCCCCAACCGGCACCCGAAATGTGCCTTTTGGAAAAATCCTGACATCCCCGACCCCAAACAAGAGAGCGTGAAGCACAGGTCTTTGCTTCGTCCATGGCCTTCGCCTCGACACGCGCCTTCGCTTCCCTTTGATTGCAGGGCCCGGCTGTTGAAGGTTCGACGTGTTAGGTCACTGCGGTTTAGGGCTGATCGTTCACATGTCTCCTGCAGGCCCTTTGGCCTGCCGGGCTCCCTGAATTTTTAATAACAAAACCGAATGTCAGATCGGTTGAAGGTATACTTGAGCTTGGCATGGTCTTGGTCTGCTTTCACAGATACTCTATGTCCTGCCGAACTTTGCTGCCCCAAGAGCAGGGCGGCCTTTACAGCGTGATGTTGAAGGTGTGAGGTGCTCCCAGTAGTGGAACCTGAACCAACAAGCTCCAGGGTTTTTTGCTTCAGACTAAAATTAAAAGCCTGTGCTCGAAACTTCGACTTGAAGTCTGAAGCTTTTTGGATTTCGCATCTGGGGTCGAGAGAATAGTGAGTAGTGCTTCAGGTTGAGAGCGTACGATAAACAGGATTCGGGTGTTGGGTGCTGGGTGTCGGGTGCAGTATCCAAGCTCTGAACTCGGAACTCGAAAGTGTTCAGGTATGCAGGCCATGTTAGATGCAAAAATGCTTGACGGGGACTAGTTGCAGGCCCGGAGCTGAAGGGGCCCGCTCGATACACACTGTGCCAACCTGTCGAATCCATCGCCGCGGGATGATTTGAAGCAGGGCTTGCAAGAGTCGTTTCAGTGCCGTGTGAAAGCTGAACTGAAAGCCGGAAAATCTAAGGGCTGAAGAGCCTCAAACTGAAGAGCCCCCGGTTCTGAATGGGTTCTGACCGGGGTATTGCTAGAAGGTTGGGACGGGAAGCGCACGCTCCCCAACTCAGTGTTTGGGCTTGCCAGCTGCTTCGGGCAAGGACATCATGGACACCCCGAGCAAGCACTTTGAAGGCAGTTCTGGGCCAGTGTTCACTCAGTAGATGGTTTTGTGACATGCAACACTGTACTGTGTTGCATGTAGACAGGCATCGTCGCGTGCTGCAAGACGGCATCTGACTGAGCATGCCGCGTCTCCGATGTTGATCAGCCGGTGCTGCCTGATGCTTGCCCTGCGCCAGGAGGCTGAAGTCCTCGTTGCGTGGTGACGATGTTGCGGTCTCTCTTTGAAAGCGTTGGGTGCTTACAGTGCTATGCGAGTGCTGGACTCATGTCTAACATGACAATTTTTTCCTTTTTCCATGAATCGACCATTGAACTGTTCCCCATTTTATTCGGATTCGATGTTGCGATTGTTTGCGTAGAAATGGCCGTAGTGCCTCCACTGTAGTTGTTGGGGAGCTTGACGCTATCCCAGGGAGTGTTTGCTGGGAATGGCTTTGCACAAGTCCAACTCAAGGCCGTGTATACCTGAGCTGTGATTTTGTACAAGTGACCAGGCACCTAGCTCAGTCTGCGAGCCGCATTCCGTGACTTAAAATGGAATACTTAGTGACACTGATTCTCTGACACTCACCGACTCACTCACCCTCTCGCTCTCTCTCTCCCTCCCTCCCTCCCCTGCATGCATCGGGCATCGCAAAGTGATCGCATGCGCACCAAATTCAGGCCCTTCTTAGTCACCTGCAACCATTGCACTGCTTGCCGGGTGGCGAGCGGCACAGCGGTACTTCGAAAGGGTCGATCATTGCTTGTGTCCAGCCAGTGCCTGTGATAGTGACTTGGTGAATGAATCCTAGGAGAAGTTGGGGCAACCTTGGTTTTGTTGCAGCCTCCGTGGATTCCAAAGGCCGCCGCAGACGGCGGCTCCGCAGGCTTCGTAGCGGCCGTAGCGCTCGGCAAGAGCAGCGCAGCCGCGCGCAGCCATGGCAGGGACCTACAGCTTGACGCTTGGAGCCGAGCCTGAGCCGGACCTGCCAAACCTCGAGGAGCCTCTCCAGGAGGATTCTCGCGACATGGTCAGAGGAGTGCGGATGGAGTCTCCTCGACACGGCCAGCATCCGCTCAGATTCTTAAGGTTCTCGCGGACCACACTTTGGACGATTGGACTCATCACAGTGGCAATGTTGACACTTCTTATGTTGAAGGCGCCTGGTTTGGCTTCAATGTTGACTACGAAACAACGTGGCCAAGCACCGGCGGAATCCGAAGCTGTAGCTTGGAATGTCGTCTTAGCAGCCCTTTGCCAACTTTTTCCACACTCCTTAAGATTCTAAGGTTTCAATCGGGAGACTGAGCTTACTAGTCTTCAGTTTCCGAGTCGTCTTGGATCTAAAGTTCATGCCTCCAGTCCTCGGGGTATCAGTGCTGACCCCGGCTGGTCGCCTCCTATCCTCATCAATCACCGAGCGGCCTCAGGTCATTGACCTCTATGAGCTCAACATCAACACGAGCCACGGCATGGTGCCCAAGAAGCTCCAAGTCTCTGGTGTTGATTGCGGGCCGGCTAACAGTGGCTACGCTGAGCTGCTGAATGGCAACTATACCTATGAGGAGACCATTGATGGCCGACCCAGGTACAAGTCAGAAACAGCGCACAAGTTACCAGGCACTCCCTGGTTGCAAAGCTGGCTGACCACATCGCACCACACCTACTTGTATTACAGCAGCAGCAATGTCTCCAGTGGGCCTTACGGTGAATGGCATTTCCTCTATTCAAGCCACACAGATGGGATGAACGTTTCAGAGTTAAAGGTCACACGTGACCCTCCTCTGCTGTCCGGTCCGGAAGTGGGCGGGCCTGCAAAGGCTTTGCCACCCCGACGAACCACGTGGAAGGTGATGTGCGATGACAGTGCTGGGAGCCCAACTTACATGGATCTTCCGTTGACACTCCATGCAACTGGGAAGATGGAAACCACAAAAAGCTGTGAATGGAGATATGTCAACGGAGTGTTGAAGGGAGGTTCGAGACTTGGGCAGAAACAGGACAGCATTGACTTGGGTACGCGTAGACATGTCCAGTCAAGTCTGTTAAGTTTACCCTAGTGTACTTGACCATGCTGGTCAGCCAGCTTCCGAATCACCGAGACTCGCAGAAACAAAGTTGCATTGTGTAAAGTAGGTTTTGGCTTTGCTGTGTTTTTCTAGCATGCCAAGAGGGGTGTCGTTTCGACCGCGACACTGCTCGAGTAGTGGCTGAACCGAAGAAATCGTGCCCCATCTCGTGAAACATACTTGTAGTTCAACTGGCTTCTACAGCAACCTTCTTGCTTCGGGCGAATTGGGCAATATTCATTGAGCCATCATCGTTCACCCCAACGCTGCATTCGTGTTTCATCATCGCCCACCGTTGATCCATGCTTATGCTGTTATGCCCTTATTGAATCGACGGGCCGGGCAATTCAACTTATCCTTGAGCCTTTCGTCCACCAAGGATGAGCATCACCCAAGGCACCGCCGGGAGCATCACCGATGGTGGAAGCTCTTCGCAGGAATGGGGAGTGGAAGTCACTCCAGAGGCCAGTTACAACTCCGGCTCAGGGGGCGCAGGTCCAGGTGGCAAATTGGGTGCAGCCTTTCGTTACGGAAGCAAATCGGGCAGCAGCTGGGAAGTGGCCAAGTCCAAGTCGAACAAAGTCAGCCAATACCACAAATGGCCTAGGGATGGAGCATTGTTCTCGTGGACGTGTGATGTCACGGAAACTACTCTTGGAACTCACGTGGAGACTGTACGAACTAATGAGCACCTTGTCCTTGAACCAAACTTGTGTGCGACCTTTGATCGGCCTTGTCCCACACACGTGATATGGGAGTTTCCGAAAATTAGGGGTACCTTATTTGGGGTCCTTATAATAAGGATCCTACTACATAGAGTACTATATTAGGGTCCCCTAATGTCCCCTATTTTCGGAAGCCCCCATGTGAATGTGTGAATGTTTGTGGATATCGGAAGAGCAGGGCTCGAGATGTGTGCACAGCGAGGTACGCCATCACAGATAATCAGGGCCAACTCCCAAAGTGTTGTCCGGGCTGGAACGCTGGCGGCGCAGCAGATTACCAGCATCTCAGTTGCAGGTGGCCCACGTTCTGTGTCATCATTTAGCCATCTTTCAATGACAGGCAGAGAGTCATTGGCCATGGCACATCTCTCGATTCCATGCCGGCATCTTCAATTCGTTTCTTTGGGATTTCCTGTTGAAGTCAGCAGGACTCATCTTGGCTGCTTCGTACCGGCTTTGGCCCCCGAGAACTTTGAGAACTTACGACGAATCTGTATTTCTAACAAACATGCCTCACGCTGGGAGGCTGCATTCCTGTATGAAGCATCCTGAAGCCCCAAATCCCAGGAAGTGCGTTGCAGGTCCTGAGCTTCCAAAGTGCGAAGAGGACGTGGATGATCATAGGGTATAGGAGTTTTGGAGTTTAGGTTACGGTTAAGTTACGGTTAAAGGGTTTAGGGCTTAGGGCTGAGGGATGGTGCCAAGAGTACAAACCGCTAACATATCTTGGACGGTGAAACATCGCCAAGCGGTGCGGTCAAGATGATGTGCACAAGGGTGGCAAAGGCTGTTTTGTGAGAGGTCATACCATGTATCTGGTCCTTCAAAGGTTACTGACTATACGACGCTAGCAAGCAGCTTTCCATTACTCACCTTCCCTTGTACAATGGAGGGTCCAGGTTGAATTTTGAGAATGGTCATGTACTATTCGTGGGAATGTCTGAGGTATTTCAGTTCACCCGAGGTTTTCTACTGCACTCATCTCGCACAGAACTTGCGATGTAACGTCAAGAGGCCTTCAGAGAGGCCTCTTGACATGCCGTGCATAATTTGTCAGAGGTGTCACGCGATCACTGTAGAGAGATGCATGCGCAGAGCGCTGCGCTAGAACGCCGCTCGTGTTTGGTGCCGTTCAGGACTCTGCCGCGCGGGCGAGGATCGCGGCTGCTGAGAAGCTGTCGACCACGCCGTTATCGGTGTCACCCCATCCGGAAGCTGCAAAGGCTGGGATTCTTTTTTGTCGGCTTGGCAATTCGCCAAAACAAGGCCACGACGTGTGGTTTTGGGCACAGACATGTCTCGGTTTATCGCAAAGGCAGCTGTTGGGCCAGTTACAACAAATAGGACGTTTCATGATCGATCTTTTTGGTGTTCTTCTTCGCACTCTGGCAGAGGGTGAGCAGTCTGCAAAGGTGCCAACCTCAAAGCTGATGACCACCACCGCTGCTTCCACGACGACCACCAGATTGCCGCCATCATCGCCGTCACCCATGGTGAATGCCGGGAAGGCTGGGAGATGTTTTTCCTAGTTTTCTCTCCGGACACCTGCAAACAAAGCAGGACGCAACGTCTACATGGGCCTGAGAGGTTTTTTCGAACATTCGGAAATACCCAGGGCGACTTACGTTCGAAAAGGCAGAGATTTCCAGGTGTGCAAAGGGATCTGTGACTGTCATGACTTTATGAGCTTGATATGAGGTGAGTCTACAACATGTAGCCGCGGAAACAGCTGCTGCCACGGCTGCGGCCGTGGCTGCTGCCACAGCTGCTGCCAAAGAAGCTGTCAGCACCGCGATGCAGACATCACAGACTCGAACACAGCTGCCCAGGCAAGGTTTTTGTTCGCCCAGAATCAACATGCATGTTTTTCGATGCATTGCAGCCACTGAAAATTGTGAGAAATTGCCCTGCAGGCCTTTGGAGGGCTCGGGAGAATATGCGCACACGGAGTCCAGCGAAAGGAGTGCCCGTCACCTGAAATTCAAGGGGCTCTGTGTGGGTGTGGAACCCTTGCGCATCCACTCGAACGGTGCTCCGGTGCAGCTTCGCCCTTGTACTGAAGGCCGCAGCATTCAGTGGGTTGAAGACGAGAACAAGTTGAAGCTGATGGCAGATATGACCAAGTGCCTGGATGTGGTGGGGCACAACTTCTGGAGTTATTCCCCGCTTCAGATCTGGGATTGCCTTGAGGACAACGATGATCAGATCGTGACGAGGCAGCCGGACGGCCGATATCAGTGGCACAACACCAAACACGGAATCTTCTATATCGATGTGCGGGAAGGCGGTGATACAAGAAAGAGTCTAAAATGGAGAGCTGTTCAGATCTGGACAAAGGGGCCAAATCAGTTGTTTAGCACATGATGTACAGATTGAAATGCTTCGAAGCACCGAAGCCCTTATGTCGGACATTCGTTTCAGTGTGCTGCGAGCCGCGATCTTAAACGGACGCTACAATCGTATTTAAGGACTGCCAAGTCTGGTGACAACGGTGGTAGACAGCGGGAGAGAGTTCCCAAGGAGATGGATTAGGTTTGCTGCTGACCCGTTGAAACCACCTTCATCAGGCCGTGGAGTAAGGTTCGTAAGGAAATGCCCTAGGGCCCTCGACATATTCGAGCAAAAACAACTTTTGTTGTGTGTCCATCAGGAGGGAAGATTCGAGGATGAGAGGACTTCTGAATGCATGGCTTAAGGGGTTTGGGGCAGTTGAATGCCAAAAACTTCAATCTTTGTGTGAGCAGAACACAGGGGTGAGTATTGAGGGAGGTGTGCGTGGGGTTCAGGGCATGCCCCGAAGTCAGCGAGGGTTTCGGAAGCCTGGCTGGTCTATCAACTATTGTCCTACTGGTGGTGAGAGAATGGAGAACGGGATATACCAAGATCGCGGAATTTTTGTTACAGTGCACGCCCCTTGCAATGCTGCAAAGCCGGCACTCCAAAGGTATGTTTCACAGACCAGGAACGGCCAACCATGCTCCACGACAGTTCCCAGGATAATAATGTGGCCTGAAATAGTTGCTATGAGCCTGGGTCGCGGACTCTGGTGTTGCAAATGATTGTGTATGCCCGGAACTGGGCCACTCAGTAATCTTTGCCAAATCTACTTGGCCGTGAGCCATGCGTCGATGGTTGAATATCTGTGTCAGACTGAGTCAGGAACTGACCATGTCTCAAAGGAAAGTCGCCTGTCGACTGCGCCCAGAGGGTGACTCAGCCCGTGCCTGACTTCCCGCCACAGAATGCTGCTTGGTTTGCCGGTGTTGGAGAACGCATCGTTGTGCATGCACCGATAACAGCCTGTGTTTCGTCATGTTCCGTCACATTCCTGTCAGCAGTTTGTTCTGCACAAGCCCCAACGATGCCGTGTTAAGGCAATTGATTGGTGGAATGGAGTCCGCTACGACACGAAACATATTCAAGAGTTAAACACTAGTTCAGAACCACTAAGCCAATATTTGCGTTATCTCCTGCTTCCAATCCAGCCGTACTCAAACCCTCACTCCACAAAGTCCTTCCAGGCCCAGCACCAGCGTGCGGCACCACCATGTCGCCAACTGTTGGCCACCGCGCTTGAAGTTCGGCTGCAATCTCAGTCTCTCTCTCTCTCTCTCTCTCTCTGTGTATCTGGCTACCTGTCTTTTGCATCTTGTCATGCAAAGGCTATTCTTGCTTTCATTTCTGAGTGGATGGAGACAGCATTCCAGGCTTTGCTTTGGAGAAGCTGAGAAGCTTCGGAGTTGGAGGCCCTGCTTACGGGCTTTCGAAGCCGGTCACGCGCCAGGCTTGGCCTTCGCAACAGTAGCTCCTCGCAACGGCAAGACGAGGCAAGGATTCGGTTGCCTGCCACAACCAGTCCATTCCTTTCATCCCCAATTTCACATATGACCCACAGGGAGTGAAGGTATGAGGAAAGATGCAGCAAGGTGCACGACGGCACATCAATCGAATCCAGCCAAAACAGCCCTGGCCCATTGAACTCAAGTTGCATTTCCGCAAGCGAGATATTTCGCGACCAGATCCCATCCTTCAGCGTCATCTCGCTATGAGTTCAGTGCGGACAAGGTTCCCGAACGCATTCCGGCTGCAATTGTCATGCGCGGTTGAGTGGCTGCCGCAAGTCGGTGACAGAGCAGCCTTGCAACTCCTTGATGAGGTTCAAACCGAGTTTGTGGAGATGCAGCTGACAGCCCTGAATACGGTTTCGAAGAGCACAAAGATGGAGAGCGAACAGCCACAAACTCAGTGTATCGATTTTTGGCTGCAATCCACGAAGGAAAAAACCATAAAGCAACCCCTATGTCTTGATATAACTTGAAGTTATTGGAATTCTTTGAAGTCTCTCGAGTTGAAGTGAATAATCTAGTCAAGGAGACATAGTTGCTTTTATACTTCATTTTTATTGAAATAATTAGATCTCCATTTCTGCATTCTGATCTCGCGAAAATAGTCTGCCGTAGAATTCACACGACTTCTAAAGTTGACTCGTATCTGTCTGTCTTTCAAGTGTTAAAATATATGTCAAATCATCACGTGTCTTATCACGAAAAGTAATCTTTCGTTTCTATTATATAAGTGGGGTTACTCCGGTCTTGCGTTAATTCGCGTTGTTTCTTTGATATCTCAATTTAAAAGAGGGCCCCACTTATCTATTTAAGAAAGGCTTCATTATAATATAGGAAATATGGCCTCATTGATATTTTCGATGCTTCGAATGTAGGATATATTATAAAAGTTACTATAAACAATCTATCGGCCTTCGCGCGTTTATACTAAAGATTTCGTACTAGAATTAATTCATATGTTATATTGGATTTCGTGTATTTACATAAAATCTCTTGGATATATTGTTGGAATTAGTAAAAATGATGAGAGGTACTAAATTAGAAAAGTAAATCGGTCTCTATCGAAAATGATATTTAAAGTAATAATAAGTATTATTATGATTTATATTAGTAATTATCGTTATCGTAATGAATTGATATCATAGATATTATGATTAAATGAATATCGTATATTTAGATATAAATGATGAATATCGTATCGACATTAATAATATTCGTAGTAGTAAGCACGATATAAAATAATGAAAAA